TAGGTAATGTAATTAAAAAATAAAGTTTGATTGGGTCACAGGTTAGACATTTATGAGATACAATAATGAGATTATGTGGAGTAAAATAAAGGTTAGATGTGAAAAATGGGTTATAGTAAGTGTATATGCACCTGGAGAAGAGAGAAGTGTAGAGGAGAGAGAGAGGTTTTGGGAATTGTTGAGTGTGTGGGGAGTTTTGAGCCAAGTGTGAGAGTACTTGTGGTTGGAGATTTCAATGCTAAAGTGGGTAAAAATGTTGTGGAGGGAGTAGTAAATTTGGGGTGCCAGGGGTAAATGAAAATGGGGAGCTTTTAATTGAGCTATGTGTAGAAAGAGGTTTGGTAATAAGTAATACATATTTTATGAAAAAGAGGATAAATAAATATACAAGGTATGATATAGCACGTAATGAAAGTAGTTTGTTAGATTATATATTGGTGGATAAAAGGTTGATAGGCAGGCTTCAGGATGTACATGTTTATAGAGGGGCATCTGATATATCGGATCATTATTTAGTTGTAGTTGGGACAAAAGGAAGATGGCAACAACAACTAAGAGAGAGGTGAAAGTGTATAAACTAAGGGAGGAAGAAGTTCAGGTGAGATATAATCAACTATTGGCAGAAAGGTGGGCTAGAGCAAGTATGAGTAGTGGGGGGGAGGGGGGTTAAAGAGGGTTGGAATAGTTTTAAAAATGCAGTATTAGAATGTGGGGCAGAAGTTTGTGGCTATAGGAGGGTGGGAGCAGGAGGAAAGAGGAGTGATTGGTGAAATGTTGAAGAAAAGGGTGTGATAAAAGAGAAAAAGGTAGCTTGAGAGGTTTTTACAAAGCAGAAGTGTTATAAGAAGAGCAGAGTATATGGAGAGTAAAAGAAAGGTGAAGAGAGTGTAAAAGGAGAGCAGATGATAGAGTGCGAGAGGCACTGTCAAGAAATTTTGATGAAAATAAGAAAAAATTTTGTAGTGAGATAAACAAGTTAAGAAAGCCTAGGGAATGAATGGATTTGTCAGTTAAAAACAGAGTAGGGGAGTTAATAGATGGGAAGATGGAGGTATTGGGTAGATAGCGGGAATATTTTGAGGAACTTTTAAATGTCGACGATGAAAGGGAGGCGGTAATTTCATGCACTGGCTAGGGAGGTATCCCATATTTTAGGAGTGAAGAAGAGCAGGATGTGAGTGTAGGGGAGGTGCATAAGGCATTATATAAAATGAAAGGGGGTAAAGCAGCTGGAACTGATGGGATCATGACAGAAATGTTAAAAGCAGGGGGGATATCGTGTTGGAGTGGTTGGTATTTTTGTTTAATAAATGCATGAAAGAGTGGAAGGTACCTAGGGACTGTCCCCCTTCCCTTATATAAAGGGAAGGGGGACAAAAGAGATTGTAAAAATTATAGAGGAATAAGTTTACTGAGTATACCAGGAAAAGTGTATGGTAGGGTTATTATTGAAAGAATTATAGGCAAGGCAGAATTTAGGATTGCGGATGAGCAAGGAGGTTTTAGAGTGGGTAGGGGATATGTAGATCAAGTGTTTACATTGAAGCATATATGTGAACAGTATTTAGATAAAGGTAGGGAAGTTTTCATTGCATTTATGGATTTAGAAAAGGCATATGATAGAGTGGATAGGGGAGCAATGTGGCAGATGTTGCAAGTATATGGAATAGATAGTAAGTTACTAAATGCTGTAAAGAGTTTTTATGAGGATAGTGAGGCTCAGGTTAGGGTGTATAGAAGAGAGGAAGACTACTTCCAAGTAAAGGTGGGTCTTAGACAGGGATGTGTGATGTCACCATGGTTGTTTAATATATTTATAGATGGGGTTGTAAAAGAAGTAAATGCTAGGGTGTTGGGGAGAGGGGTGGGATTAAATTATGGGGAATCAAATACAAAATGGGAATTGACACAGTTACTTTTTGCTGATGATACTGTGCTTATGGAAGATTCTAAAGAAAAGTTGCAAAGGTTAGTGGACAAGTGTGGGAGAGTGTGTAAAGGTAGAAAGTTGAAAGTGAACATGGAAAAGAGTAAGGTGATGAGGGTATCAAATGATTTAGATTAAGAAAAATTGGATATCAAATTGGAGAGGAGGAGTATGGAAGAAGTGAATGTTCTCAGATATTTGGGAGTTGACGTGTCAGCAGATGGATGTATGAAGGATGAGGTTAATCATAAAATTGATGAAGGAAAAAAGTGAGTGGTGCATTGAGGTATATGTGGAGACAAAAAACATTATCTATGGAGGCAAAGAAGGGAATGCATGAAAGTGTAGTGGTACCAACACTCTTATATGGGTGTGAAGCTTGGGTTGTAAAGGCTGCAGCAAGGAGGCAGTTGGAGGTAGTGGAGATGTCCTATCTAAGGGCAAAGTGTGGTGTAAATATTATGCAGAGAATTTGGAGTGTGGAAATTAGGAGAAGGTTTGGAGTTAATAAAAGTATTAGTCAGAGGGCTGAAGAGGGGTTGTTGAGGTGGTTTGGTCATTTAGAGAGAATGGATGAAAGTAGAATGACATGGAGAGCGTATAAATCTGTAGGGGAAGGGAGGCGGGTTAGGGGTCGTCCTCGAAAATGTTGGAGGGAGGGGGTAAGGGAGGTTTTGTGGGTGAGGGCTTGGACTTCCAGCAAGCATGCATGAGCATGTTAGATAGGAGTGAATGGAGATGAATGGTGTTTGGGACCTGACGAGGTGTTGGAGTGTGAGCAGGGTAATATTTAGTGAAGGGATTTAGGAAAACCGGTTATTTTTATATAGCCGGACTTGCATACTAGAAATGGGAAGTACAATGCCTGCACTTTAAAGGAGGGGTTTGGGATATCGGCAGTTTGGAGGGAAATGTTGTGTATCTTTATATGTATATGCGTCTAAACTGTTGTGTTCTGGGCACCTCTGAAAAAACAGTGATTATGTATGAGTGAGGTGAAAGTGTTGAAAGATGATGAAAGTATTTTTGTTTTGGGAATTTTCTTTCTTTTTGGGTCACCCTGTCTCGGTGGGAAACACCCAGCTTGTTAAAAAAAAAAAATTAATATTTATGTTACATAATTTTTTTTTTTTTCAACAAATCGGCCATCTCCCACTGAGGCAGGGTGACCCAAAAAGAAAGAAAATCCCCAAAAAGAAAATACTTTCATCATCATTCAACACTTTCACCTCACTCACGCATAATCACTGTTTTTGCAGAGGTGCCCAGAATACAACAGCTTAGAAGTACATATATATACGTATAAAAATACACAATATATCGCTCCAAACTGCCAATATCCCAAACCCCTCCTTTAGAGTGCAGGCATTGTACTTCCCATTTCCAGGACTCAAGTCCAGTTATATAAAAGAACCGGTTTCCCTGAATCCCTTCACTAAATATTACCCTGCTCACACTCCAACAGCTCGTCAGGCTCCAAATACTATTCGTCTCCATTCACTCCTATCTAATGCTCTCATGCACGCTTGCTGGAAGTCCAAGCCCCTCGCCCACAACACCTCCTTTACCCCCTCTCTCCAACCTTTTCGAGGATGACCGCTACCCCGCCTTCCTTCCCCTACAGATTTATACGCTCTCCATGCTATTCTACTTTGATCCATTCTCTCTAAATGACCAAACCACCTCAACAAACCCTCTTCAGTCCTCTGACTAATACTTTTATTAACTCCATACCTTCTCCTGATTTCCACACTCCGAATTCTCTGCATAATATTTACACCACACATTGCCCTTGGATAGGACATCTCCACCACCTCCAACTGCCTCCTTGCTGCATAATTATTAATTATAATAATTATTAATAGTAATTATTACATAATTATTAAATTATATTTTTCTTAATACTTGGAATTAAAACACATAAAAAAATTATATATTGCCACAAAAAAAAAAAAAATTCCACAAATTTGCAGGGATTTCCGTGAACAATTATTAGTCAGGTTTTAAGGAAAAAATTCGCGAATTACTGAAGCCATGAATTTGCGGTGGTCCACTGGATATTCTGTACATTTTTTAACACTCCAGCCATCTCTCTGAGGTTGGGTGATCCAAAAAAAGAAGAAACACTTTCACTGTCAATTACTCTATCACTGTCTTGCTGACACTGGCTTGCTGACATTTCAGCTCAGATGGCCCTAAAAACTGCAGTATTCATACATGTCCTTGAGACTGCAGGCACTGTACTTCCCACCTCCAGGACTGGAGTAATGCTAAATGGTTTCTCCTGAACCCCTTCATAAATGCTACCTTGCTCATACTCTAACAGCTTGTTGGATGTTTAAGCCCCTCACATGCAAAACCTCCTTTACCCCATCCCTCCAAATTTTCCTAGGATGACCCCAACCCCTCCTTCCCTCCATTACAAATTTATACACCTCCAAGTCATCCTATTTTGCTCCATCCTCTCTAAATGTCCAAACCCCTTCCATAACCCCTCCTCAGCTTTCTGAACAATGCTTTTAGTAACCCCACACCTCATAATATTCAAACTATGAATTCTCTGCAAAATATTCACACCACACATTGCCCTCAGACATGACATCTCCACTGTCTCAGCCGCTGCTGCCGCCACCTCCACCTCGTCTGCTGCCTTCTCCTCTGCCATCTCCTACTCCGCCACTGCCTCCTCCTTCATATATTCTTGTTATGTAAACAAAATGGCACCTGATTTTGTGATAGCCAAATCAGCATGTAGCATTTTCATATTAAAATAGTTCTTGAGACATCTTTAGTGTGGAGACTAGTAGAACTGCCATAGTGACTAATCAGTCACTTTGTTCTCTGTGAGGTTTATCTCATACATTCTTAAAAGTGAATCATCATTTACATACTTTAGGGCTAGCACTCAATTTACATCCCTTCTAGAAAATGATCTATCCCTTACCTCTTGCCAAAAGAATAACCCATCCTTTGCCTATGTATTTTGTAAATCTGTGAATGATTATAGACCTCTATTCAGAATCCCTTTCCATTATAAGTGACTAAGTCACTCTTTTACTCTATATCACCACAGAGATTAGCAGGAGGAGAAAACGTTGGTTTCAGCAATGGTACATTCCTATCTGAGCGAGAGAATGCAGATAGAAACTATTCCCTTGGATATTACATGAGGGAGAACAAATGTTTTCCTGAGAAATGCGATCTCATGGCTTCGTTAGATCTCTACTTCCAGGTAAGTACTGTATTTACCTTTATATACATAGTTTTATAGTATTTTGTTTTTATGCTGAAAAGCTATTGGTATTAAAAAAACATTTGGGCTTTTACATTAACAAATCCAGCATTTAAAATTCTGTACCCTATGATTTAGTTGCTCTTTAAAATGTATTTTTTACCTGCTTTTATCTGGTGAACTACTTGAGGATGAAGTGGTAGTCTGTGTCTGTGTTTGGTCAAATTTTGGTTTCTGTAGATTTGTTGACCGATGCTGCAGTGGTAGTTGATACATGAACAGCTTCTTGTACTGTATGAATGTTTGTCAGTAAATTGGCTTTGTTTCTTATTTCATTTTTTGTTATTGAAATTATCTCTGTAGAAGTGTCACTTGGCAACATTATTAAATACTTTGGGATTTTAGGGAGGATTCATTTAAAATGCAGGATTACTTTTACTGCATTAATTAGAGTTGCAGAATGTTATTACTATATTAAAGCCAAATTATTACCTGTAGAATTATCCTGAGTAGAAAAGATTACTAATGCCATAACAAGAAACATTCAAATGTTGGCATGTAATATTTTATTGAAAAGCAGTTTTAAGTTCATTACAGTAAGTTGCCATATCCTCAGTAATTTTAGCATGTAAGGATCATAAATTAACAGCCTGCCCATTATATCAGTATGTGTAGTACTGTCCTGGTATGGTTCTTATCACATGTTGTATGATTATTGTGTTTAGTATGCTAGGATTCTTGTATAGTATTTTAGGATTCTTGTCTGGTGCTACAGTATATGGTCATTATGTTTAGCACCATATCAAGGACTCTTACATATGCTGTAGCTAGTACAGTAGTATTCTTGTGTGTCTAGTACAGTAGAATTTTTGTGTATTTGCTCTATTGGATTCCCTTGTGTTTCTAGTACTGTCGCATTCTTGTCTGGTACAGTGCTACATTACTTTTCTCTATTGCAGAATGATTCTTGAATATGTTTTAATGGTTGTTCCAAGTGGTCTTCATTTATTTTATATGTTACTGTTTGTTTTATTTTGTTTTATAAATATATGAAGGATTACAATGAGTGCATTGAAGTAAAACAAGGTACCAGTGGGTTTTTCTTTATTTTCTTACAAGAATCTTTAACTTCACTTACCAATAATATGTCAACACAGAGGGTGTAGTTGTTGGGAGTGTTGTGGGAGTAATGGGGCAGGGAGGATTTATATTTCCAACATCATTTTGGAAAACTGTACTCATTTGTCACACTATAGGAAATAGGAATATGTGGCACCACTGTAGAGGGGCTGTTAATTTGAAGAAGCACTAGAGCAGGATTGGAAATATGGTGCCACTAGAGGAATTGGAAATACGATGCCACTAGAGGAACTGGAAATATGCCACTAGAGTAACTGGAAATATGATGCCACTTGAGGAACTGTGAACATGATGGCATCACTATAGAGAGAATGGGAATACTGTTTAATGGTGCTATTGTAAAGGGACTAGGAACATGGGTGTTGGTGTATAATTGTTTGGAAGGCAGTTAAAGGGTGCCACATCATTTAGTAAGGGAACTGGAACTGGGAACTTTGGCACCACAAGCAATGTGATATGGTGAAATGTGGTAATCATGTAAAGTGACATGGTGAGATGTGGCTGGCTTGTGACATGACGTAACAAAACATGGCAGTCATGCAATGAGACAAGATGATGTACAGCAAGAGTGAGACATGACATGGTGATACATGGCACCAAAGTGACAAGACATGGTGAGATGTATGTAGTAACTGTGCTAAATAACTTGGCAGTGTGGCATCTGTTCAATGTTACACGGGGAACATGGCATGGGGAAGCATCACAGCTTTGTGACGAAACATGGCAAGGTGTGGCAGTTGTATGATATAACATGACACGTGATGTGGCAATCATATGACGTGACAGTGATGGTATAACTGCAACATGGCATGGAAAGACATGGCAGCAGCGTTACGAGACATGATGATATGTGGGAAAAGTGTGACAGACATAATAACAAGACAACAAAGCTAAACTCATAAACTCTCAAGATATCTAGCAAAATAAAATGGGATATATGAGCTGCTGCAACTTAAAGTTAGATTTGTATAAAAATTATAAAATATTCATCAATGATTCAATCACAGTATATCTTATGGACTCTTTGTACTGAAACTTTATAGGAAGGAAGGATTATCTGTTGCTTCAGGAACTGTTAACTAATGAAGATAATTTCTTGGACAATTAACTATACTATGCATGTTAATTAGAAAGAAATGTGACTTGCTAATGGATTCTAATTTGAAAAACTCGAGTCCAAGGGAGATATCATGTATGGTAGTTGGTAAATCATTCGTAAACAACCTCAGGACAGTGCCTGTGGGTTATTCTTCCAGCAGGCAATACAGTAATAATGACGTTGTGATGAGGTCATGGAAGAGATGCTTCTGGCATGTGAGGGTTTGCCATTTAGCCTGTCATCATGTCCATGAATTCTGTGGGAAAAAATAAAATATTTTATAAAAAAGAGATTGAGTAACATTTTGAAAACTGTTTTTGAAATCAGTGGTGGCTCCAGAATTTCTGTATAGCAGGGGATTAGGGGTGACACTAATTGGAAAGAGGAATGGGTGGGGTGGCAGCTAGGGGACTTGCATTGAAGTTGCATTATTCACCTTATTATTTATGTTAGGGGGCTGTTGGAGATTATAGGGGATGTTTCAGCCCCTCTTTGGCATTGCCACTGTATGAAGTACTGTACATAGTGTAGAAAATGTGAAAAATGGGAAGGGATTAGGAATGTAGTAAAATGAAAGGGGAGTTTATGAAAATGAATAAGATAATAAAAATTTAAAAAGTGAGGGAGTTGTGAAATATGTGAAAGTAAAGAGAGGGTTATTAAAACAAAACAAAAAATGAGATGGGTTATTAAAAACAAAGTAAAAATGAGAGGGGTTATTAAAAATATTTCAAAAATGAGGGAATTATTAAAATAATGTGAAAAATAAGATGGGAGTTATTAAACGTTTGTAAAATGAGAAAACTCTTTTAACCCTTAAACGGTCCAAATGTATATATGCGTTCACGCAGGTAGCGCCCCAAACGTATATATACATTTTCTTTGTCATTCATTCAACATTGCCACGATAAGCCTGAGTCACCTAGACATGAGAGAATGGGTGTGCGCACTCACTGTGTGCCATATTAAAATAATTGGGGATGCCTGGGTACCATATGCTCTTTTTTCCTTTTAAAAAAAAGATTTTTTTTTTCTCAAAAAATTTGGGGCACTACGCGAGTGAACGTATATATACGTTTGGACCGTTTAAGGGTTAAAAATCAAGAAAACTTGTAAGGTTGATGTGAGTGTACATACCATCAAAGTCAACGGTACCGGAACCATCCTGGTCAATCTCATCAATAATGCCATCGAGTTCCTCATCAGTGAGTTTGTCATCCAGCTCATGCAGGATCTCCCGTAGCACTTTGGTTGGGATGAATCCTTGACCTGCCGGTAGAGTTCACCATAAGTGCTGAGATGTGGTGGTCACTGGTGGTGAGGGTATGGTGTTGTGTTACTGAGAGGCTATAGTATTGAGTGGTTACCAATTTGTGCTCTTTATTTCTTGTTCAGTTTAGGTTTTGTCTTGCATTTTTTTGCATAAATGACTGTCAGCTTTATTACATTCATGCTTGCAAGACATTAAAATTTTCACTATACCCGTGTCTATCTATATACGTATAGTTTTGGGAAAGAATGAATGAAAGTATGTATTTAGTTATAGAGCTAATGAGCAGAAATGACATAATTCAGAAGTGGAAAGGAGTTATATACATGGGCCAAAAAAAGAAGAAAAAAGTCAGGATGGATAATGAGGGTTTTCAAAACAAAATGTGTCATGTTAGATCTGTGAATATGAAAATGGGAAATTTTTGTTTGTGTAAGGTCTTGTGCCCAACAAAGTGAGATTTTTAGTATAAAATTTATTTTATTGAATGGCTGTAACTTACTTACCTTTCAGCAACAGCCTTCCAGGGGTACCAACGTTCAATGAGAAAAAGAACAATAACAGAGAATTGGCAGGAGTGCTAAGGAGGTGACAGGCAATAGTAAATGTAGCTGGGGCAGAAATCACCATGAAAGTGGGACTAAGACTAAAAGAAATGCAAGGTTCACATACCATCCTTGTCATACAGTCTGAAGGCTTCATACAATTCTTTTTTGAGTTCCTCTTCATCCTCTTCATTCATAAACTTGACCGCCAGTAGTACAAACTCATTAAACTCCAACTCCCCCGAGCCTGTGTTGAGGCAAACAAACCAGTGAACACTTTTGAACAAGGAGATACCACACCATGTACTTAATAATAATAATAATAATAATAATAATAATAATAATAAAAATACAAATACATCTTGCTACTTCTACTTACACTTAATCGCACTACACATACATGTACATGTTTATTTATACACGCTCATCTGAGTTTTCTTTGATTTTATCTTAACAGTTCTTGGTCTTATTACTTTTCCTTTTATATCCATGGGGAAGTAGAATAAGAATCATTCCTCCGTAATCTATGCGTGTTGTAAAAGTCAACTAAAATGCCGGGAACAATGGGATAGTAACCCCTTTTCCTGTAATAATTACTAAAAAGAATAAGAAGAAAATTGTCAGAGTGGGAAGTCTGAATGTGCATGGATGTTGTGCAAATGATAAGAAAGAGATGATTGTGGATGTTATGAATGAGAAGAAGCTGGATGTCCTGGCTTTAAGTGAAACAAAGCTGAAGGGGGTGGGAGAGTTTCAGTGGAGAGGAATAAATGGGATTAGGTCAGGGGTTTCAAATAGAGTTAGAGCTAAAGAAGGAGTAGCAATAATGTTGAAGGATAAGTTATATCAGGAAAAGAGGGAGTATAAATGTATTAATTCAAGGATTATGTGAAGTAAAATAAAGGTTGGATGTGAAAAGTGGGTTATAGTAAGCATATATGCACCTGGAGAAGAGAGAAGTGTAGAGGAGAGAGAGAGAGATTTGGGGAAATGTTGAGTGAATGCATGGGGAGTTTTCAACCAAGTGTGAGAGTAATGGTGGTTGGGGATTTCAATGCTAAAGTGGGCAAAAATGTTGTGGAGGGAGTAGTAGGTAAATTTGGGGTGCCAGGGGTAAATGAAAATGGGGAGCCTTTAATTGAGCTATGTGTAGAAAGAGGTTTGGTAATAAGTAATACATATTTTATGAAGAAGAGGATAAATAAATATACAAGGTATGATATAGCACATAATGAAAGTAGTTTATTAGATTATGTATTGGTGGATAAAAGGTTGATGGGTAGGCTCCAGGATGTACATGTTTATAGAGGGGCAACTGATATATCGGATCATTATTTAGTTGTAGCTACAGTTAGAGTAAGAAGTAGATGGGAAAAGAGGAAAATGGAAACAACAAGCAAGAAGGAGTTGAAAGTGTATAAACTAAGGGAGGAGGAAGTTCGGGTGAGATATAAGCAACTATTGGCAGAAAGGTGGGCTGGTGCAAGTATGAGTAGTGGAGGGTTGAAGAGGGTTGGAATAGTTTTAAAAATGCAGTATTAGAATGTGGGGCAGAAGTTTGTGATTATAGGAGGGTGGGTGCAGGAGGAATGAGGAGTGATTGGTGGAATGATGAAGTAAAGGGTGTGATAAAAGAGAATAAGTTAGCTTATGAGAGGTTTTTACAAAGCAGAAGTGTTATAAGAAGAGTAGAGTATATAGAGAATAAAAGAAAGGTGAAGAGAGTGGTGAGAGAGTGCAAAAGGAGAGTAGATGAAAGAGTGGGAGAGGCACTGTCAAGAAATTTTAATGAAAATAAGAAAAAATTTTGGAGTGAGTTAAACAAGTTAAGAAAGCCTAGAGAACGAATGGATTTGTCAGTTAAAAACAGAGTAGGGGAGTTAGTAGATGGGGAGATGGAGGTTTTGGGTAGATGGCGAGAATATTTTAAGGAACTTTTAAATGTCGATGAAGAAAGGGAACTGTAATTTCATGCACTGGCCAGGGAGGTATACCATCTTTTAGGAGTGAAGAAGAACAGGATGTGAGTGTGGGGGAGGTGCGTGAGGGCATTACGTAGAATGAAAGGGGGTAAAGCAGCTGGAACTGATGGGATCATGACAGAAATGTTAAAAGCAGGGGGGATATAGTATTGGAGTGGTTGGTATTTTTGTTTAATAAATGTATTAAAGAGGGGAAGGTACCTAGGGACTGACAGAGAGCATGTATAGTCCCTTTATATAAAGGGAAGGGGGACAAAAGAGATTGTAAAAATTATAGAGGAATAAGTTTACTGAGTATACCAGGAAAAGTGTACGGTAGGGTTATTATTGAAAGAATTAGAGGTAAGACAGAATGTAGGATTGCAGATGTAGGGGATGTGTAGATCAAGTGTTTACATTGAAGCATATATGTGAACAGTATTTAGATAAAGGTAGGGAAGGAGGGGTGTTAATGTTGCAGTTTAAAAACTGTAGTGTAAAGTACCCTTCTGGCAAGACAGTGATGGAGTGAATGATGGTGAAAGTTTTTCTTTTTCGGGCCACCCTGCCTTGGTGGGAATCGGCCAGTGTGATAATAAAAAAAAAAATTTTTATTGCATTTATGGATTTAGAAAAGGCATATGATAGAGTGGATAGGGGAGCAATGTGGCAGATGTTGCAAGTATATGGAATAGGTGATAAGTTACTAAATGCTGTAAAGAGTTTTTACGAGGATAGTGAGGCTCAGGTTAGGGTGTGTAGAAGAGAGGGAGACTACTTCTCAGTAAAAGTAGGTCTTAGACAGGGATGTGTAATGTCACCATGGTTGTTTAATATAATTATAGATGGGGTTGTAAAAGAAGTAAATGCTAGGGTGTTCAGGAGGGGGGTGGGATTAAATTATGGGGAATTAAATACAAAATGGGAATTGACACAGTTGCTTTTTGCTGATGATACTGTGCTCATGGGAGATTCTAAAGAAAAATTGCAAAGGTTAGTGGATGAGTTTGGGAGTGTGTGTGAAGGTAGAAAGTTGAAAGTGAACATAGAAAAGAGTAAGGTGATGAGGGTATCAAATGATTTAGATAAATAAAAATTGGATATCAAATTGAGGAGGAGGAGTATGGAAGAAGTGAATGTTTTCAGATACTTGGGAGTTGACGTGTCGGTGGATGGATTTATGAAGGATGAGGTTAATCATAGAATTGATGAGGGAAAAAAGGTGAGTGGTGCACTGAGGTATATATGGAGACAAAAAAGTTATCTACGGAGGTAAAGAAGGGAATGTATGAAAGTAAAGTAGTACCAACACTCTTATATGGGTGTGAAGCTTGGGTTGTGAATGCAACAGCGAGGAGGCGGTTGGAGGCAGTGGAGATATCCTGTCTAAGGGCAATGTGTGGTGTAAATAATGTGCAGAAAATTTGGAGTGTGGAAATTAGGAGAAGGAGTGGAGTTAATAAAAGTATTAGTCAGAGGGCTGAAGAGGGGTTGTTGAGGTAGTTTGGTCATTTAGAGAGAATGGATCAAAGTAGAATGACATGGAGAGCATATAAATCTGTAGGGGAAAGAAGGCGGGGTAGGGGTTGTCCTCGAAAGGTTGGAGGGAGGGGGTAAAGGAGGTTTTGTGGGCGAGGGGCTTGGACTTCCAGCAGGCGTGCGTGAGTGTGTTAGATAGGAGTGAATGGAGACGAATGGTATTTGGGACCTGACGATCTGTTGGAGTGTGAGCAGGGTAATATTTAGTGGAGGGATTCAGGGAAACTGGTTATTTTTATATAGCCGGACTTGAGTCCTGGAAATGGGAAGTACAATGCCTGCACTCTAAAGGAGGGGTTTGGGATATTAGCAGTTTGGAGGGATATGTTGTGTATCTTGATAGGTATATGCTTCTGAGCTGTTGTGTTCTGAGCACCTCTGCAAAAACAGTGATTATGTGTGAGAGGTGAAAGTGTTGAATGATGATGAAAGTATTTTCTTTTTGGGATTTTCTTTCTTTTTTGGGTCACCCTGCCTCGGTGGGAGACGGCCAACTTGTTAAAAAAAAAAATTATAAATTTAGTTTTAGAAGGTGTACATATTATATATGCTGTAAATGTTTCAAGGATCATTTAACAATCAGGAATACTAATGGAATAAGTTTTAGGAAGAATGTGACATCTCATTCTTGTAATAAGATTCATCATTAAACATTTTTAAGCAGATGATAAATTTAGAGACAATACTTAAACTTAAACATATGGATTGGAATATATTTTTCTGAGCTGCTGTACTTTTTAGGTAAACTGTTATTTACATTAGGCACTCTGGCATGGCAAAAAGAAGAGTGAATATTGAAATATGGTCTAAGAATTGAGGAATTAAGGCAAAAGAATTCAGAAATTTAATTAGGAATAGTTGAAAAAGTTGAGAACAAGAGGTCTATCTTAAGTCAGTAAAACAAAGAATTGAAAAGTTGAGTGTACTAACCGTCTATGTCAACTTCCTCGATGACTTGGTTAAGGATTTGGCGGTTGACAGTCTGGCCCATCATCCTAAGGATGGTACCTACAATATCAGTGGAGATTGCTCCCTTTTTCTCAGAGTCAAAGCTATCGAAGGCCCGCTTCAGTACTGCAGAAAGTCAAAAGGAACTTATGAGTTCACTTTGCAATGCCAATCAACCAGGTTGTGATGACTTTGTAGGCCGGTGGACTATGAACAAAAAAGTTTAGTTGATCAAGCAGTCAGCAGACCAGTATGGACTAAGGCTGGACAATGAGAGCAGAATTCACAAAACCACCCGCCACAGGTATACATAAATATTAACACAGAAAAATGGAAACTTCACAAGAAATACAGTATTAGGATTTGATAAGAGTAATACTGTACTGCATGTACATAAGATAGACATGCAGTGATATTACTATGCAAGAGATTAATACACAATACTGTCTGGTCAGGTAACATCATCCTATGGAATACTCGTACCTTTTGGTAGATAATTCCACAAATTAAATTGATAATGGTGGCATCACATATAAGTTAACTTTTTGGCAAACTGATTTTCTTATGAAATGTGCCTGAAATTAAACATGACTTGTATATTTCATTTTAAGGGAGATATTTTGTTATTTGAAAAGTGACATACAATACAATTTTCACAACTTTCATTGTGTACTTTATTCCTGATGAAAATTAAGACACATGCGCATCATCTGGGTATCTTTATTGTAGATGTTTCGCCATCCAGTGGCTGTATCATTACAAATTGTAGGACATAATTTGAAGACAGTAGATCTGTATACAGAAGATGAGGTAATCAGCCCCTCAACCTTGGAGTTCAAATTCAAAGTTTATTCTCTATAAGGATTACAATGTTGAATTTACAGAATTTGGTTATTGTGTGGTTTACATGTAGTTAAATAATGATTACAGAGTGTACCACTAGAACGCCTAGCATGGCTAGGCATTTCGGGCAGACTTAGTTTAATTCTTTATTTTAAAATATTACAAATTAGGAGGTAAGTTGGTATTATGGCTAAGTGACTAAATACTAGTTTGTGAGTTTAGCAATGTGAATGCTTTTGTTTTGGCACAGCACATAGTTTCAGTATTGGAGTATCATAGGATTCATTATTTTAAGATTGAGATTAATATTTCTGTTTATGGTCACATGGGTGAGTGAGTGTAAGTGTGAACCACTAGGTGGTATTCGTGGAGTTAGTTGATGGGGTGTATCAGGGAGATAAGATGTTTTCTAATGGTAGTTTTAAAGGTGATGAATGTGTCTGCAGTTCTAGAGTTCTCAGGTAGGGTGTTCCAGATTTTAGGGCCTTTGACATACATTGAATTTTTGTAAAGGTTTAGTTGGACACGGGGAATGTCGTAGAGATGTTTGTGTCTGGTGTTATGCCTGTGGGTTCTGTCACAACTATCAAGAAAGCGTTTTAGGTCAAGGTTGATATTGGAGTTTAAGGTCCTGTAGATGTAGATTGCACAGTAGTAAGTGTGGATGTACTGAACAGGGAGTAAGTTTAGATCTATGAAGAGTGGGGGGGGGTGTGTTGCCAGGGATGGGATTTAGTGATTATTCTTATTACAGCTTTTTGTTGGGTTATTATTGGCTTTAGGTGTGTTGCTGTAGTTGATCCCCAAGCACAAATAGCATAGGTGAGGTATGGATAAATAAGCGAGTGGTATAGTGTGAGAAGGGCATTTTGCGGTACGTAGTATCGTATCTTGGAGAGGATCCCAACCGTTTTGGATACTTTTTTGGTTATGTTGTTGGATATGGGTGCTGAAATTCAGGTTGTTGTCAAGGTATAGGCCTAGGAATTTGCCCTCATTATGTCTGGTAATTAGAGTGTTGTCGATCTTAATGTTAATTTGTGCATCTCCTGCTCTGCTTCCAAACATAATATAGTAGGTTTTGTCAGTGTTAAGCGTAAGTTTATTGGCTGTCATCCAAGTCGATATTTTGATAAGCTCCTCATTAACAATGGTGTTGAGGGTGGCAAGATTAGGGTGAGAGATGACATAAGTCGTGTCGTCAGCAAAGAGAATGGGTTTCAGGTGTTGGGATACGTTTGGAAGATCATTGATGCATATGAGGAAGAGCAGGGGACCAAGGACACTTCCCTGCGGAACTCCAGTATCAAGTGGCCGTGTTGTTGATGCTGTGTCTTTAATGGTGACTTACTGATACCTATTAGTAAGGTAAGATTTGAAATAAGCAAGCGCATGGCCTCTTATACCGTAATGGTCAAGTTTGTGGAGTAGGATGTCGTGGTCTACTGTGTCAAAAGCTTTTCTTAGGTCAATAAAAATTCCTAGTGGATATTCCTTATTTTCCAATGCTGTGTAAAGCAGATCTAGCATTTTTATGATTGCATCATTAGTGCTTTTATTTTTCCTAAATCCAAATTGGCAGGGTTGAGTATGTTTTTGTGCTGTTATAAATGAATATAGTCTCCTGTGCACGAGTTTCTCAAAGATTTGGATAGCAATGGTAAGTTTGATATTGGCCTATAGTTGTTTAAGTCTGTAGGGTCACCACCTTTATGGATTGGTGTAACCCTTGCCATCTTGAGTAGTTTCGGGAAAGTGCTAGTTTCTAGTGACTTGTTAAAAAGTAATGAAATAGCATGCGAAAGGATATGGGCCGCTCGCTTGTACAGTAATGGTGGGACATGAGACAGATTCCCTGAGTTATTTTTAAGTGACTTTATAATCTCGGTGACTTCCGAGGGCTCAGTTGGTGCAAGATAGAAGGAATTTGGGAAATTCCCATCTAGGTAGTCCCCGGCATGGGCATTGGTATGTGGGATTTTATTGACGAGATTAGATCCTATGGTTGAGAAGAAGTCGTTTATCTTGTTAGCTGTCAGTGGGATGTAGTGGTGTTTCATTAGGTTTAGTTAGGACAATATTCTTGTTTTTTTTCAGTTTGTGGATCCCTAGAATCTGAGAGAGTGTTTTCCAGGTCTTTTTTATATCTCCTCTAGTGTCTGTGAATCTACTGGAGTAATATAGTTGTTTGGCTTTCTTTATTACTTTGGTGAGAACTGATGAATAGTGTTTAAGAATATCTTTGTGTATTAAGACCTGTCTATATTGCTTTTCATATTGGTGTTTCTTGTCAATGGATTTCAGAATGGTGCTGGTTAGCCATGGGCAACCAAGCCGTTTGTTTGTGATCTGTTTCGTTTTTATAGGACAATGTTTGTTGTATAGTCTAAGTAATTTGTTAAGAAAAATGTCTGCCCAGTCATCAATACCATTGGCCTTGGAGAATTCTGTAGGCCAGTCAACAGTCTCTAGGTCAGCTGTGAACTTCCTTATTGAGGCCTCGTCATGGAGTCTAAATGAGACTTTGTTGTATTCAAGTGGTGGTTTACTAATGTTTGTCAGGAGGAAGGTAGGGTAGTGGTCTGTAGTGCTATCTGTGATTATCCCTGATTTAAGGGGGGCTAGTATATTGGTCCTTATGTGGTCTATTATGGTTGCACTTGTCTCAGTGAGCCTGGTTGGTTTAGTTATTGTTGGTATGAGAAGTGTGTTGTTCATATTGTTGATGAAATCAGTTACAGGCTGATCATCTAGTAAGCCAAGGTTGATGTTGAAGTTTCCAGCTAAGAGAAGGTGGTGCTTATTCATTTGTCTGTTTGTTATTAGTGACTTTAATTTCTCACTGAAATTTGGGATGTTTGTGTGAGGTATCTGGTAAATGGCACCGATTGTTATAGGTGTGAAGGGTTGGTGTGAAGAGCACCCTAGTCGTGAAGATTCTGGAGCACAGGCAAGAAGGCTGGCGCTTATATACTAACGTCAGGTGAAAAGGGATGAGTAGCAGATGAGGGCAAATTATGTCCTAGAATTTGTATTGATAGAGCCACTGGAGGGCGAAACATCTACAATGAAGATACCCAGATGTTCCACATGTGTCTTAATTTTCATCTTGTTGGTATTGTATACACATTCTTGTACTACTTTATTCCTGACAGCTGCACACACTGTATGGCTACTTTGGTTTCTAAGTTATTGTTTAGCCTACAACACTGACTTATGGGCTGGTTATGGTATGAGATACTGACATGATGACAGAGAGAGGAATGCCATTACATTTCATGAGTGGAAATCACCTTGCAAACTGTATCAGCCTAGCATGAGCCAGTAGATCTAGTGCAATGATCTTCTTATGGTTTTATTTGCCTTCTGTGTACTGTGCAGTTATTTGGCACCTGAATTGCAAGTGCTATTTCTGAGGCAATATACTAAGGGTTTGTTATGTATAAAAGAGATGCATTTGCAACATTCAGTAATTCACATATAACCCTTAACTTAGAAAGGAAACATGAGATAATGTTTTGGTCCACTCTAGACTATTATCAAGAGGCAACTGATGCAACTTGATTGTGGTCCAGGATGATCCAAATCACAGTCTCAGGCTTCTTCTCCATAGGTTATTTGTGAACTGTTTCAACTATGGTATTGTGGCTTGATATTCTTCACATTAGGTGACTTTAAAGAGGCAACATCTTTACCGCTAGGAGCTTTGTTAATCCAAGCAGCCTTTGGGGTGCAAAACTTTTCCCTAATAAAGCTACGTCAATTTACATACACGTCTCTTTTTACACTAGAGTTGAGGAATATAATAAGCCAAAATAAGAAACGTCTGCTAGCCTACAGCGGCGGAAACTCTTGTTGGCACAAAGTTAAAATCAGAGTGGAGAGAAATGGTATAAAATACTAAAACCCTGGTTTGAGACCAGGCCCTGGGGTCATTGACCTCTGGATGCAACTCTAGGTATGGAAAAAGAGAGAATACATGATGTATTCCTTTACTGACAGTGTTTTGCCCACATAGTGGGCTTTAGTACATCACAAACAGATCTACCCAGGGAGGAATTTAGGTTAGGTAAGGTTTATCAGGAAACAGGATAAGTGTTTCCTGGGATGGGTCTTATTCATGTGATGATTTGCAGCTGGAGTGTTTGGTCATTTGACCAAGGTCTTCAGTTAACTTACCAGTCCACCCATTTAGAAATTATACTTATGATTATAATGGTGAGAGATGATGAGTCTATATATTTATAAGCTTCTCTCGTCCTGAGCAAATCTGTTTGGAGTGTGATAAAGGCCACTGTGTGGGCAAAACA